AATACGTTTCTACATCTAATTTTCTAGTTTAGGACTTGCAGGAAAGTATGTTCTATTTTCCAGCTTGTCTTCAGGAGACCAAACAAATTGAGTTTTCTAATGCTTCTTCATATACTATGTTTCTTAAATCTGTAATAATTCTTATTCTGTTTTCTGTGATGTCTCCATCTGGTCCACAATTTTTTTGAATGAGCAGAGAAACTTTTTATTTAATAAAAAGTACTTTAGCTGAGGCCTTATCAGTGCCAGGAGTGGAAGGACATCACCTGTCTTTTACTTCAGATGACATGCAAAGAGCGAGCTATTGATTTTGTCCCAGAGACAGTCTGAGTCATGGCTTTGTCAAAGACAGCTTTATTATCCAGTGGTTAGCTCAGCTGAGATACGATTTTTGGCCAGTACGATTAATACCAAGATCCCAATGGAAAATCAGAAGGTACAGTGCACCACTCATGATAATTGCTGTGGTGGTGATGGCAATCTGACAGTTTCTTTAAACATCTATCAATCTGCTGTTACAATTAACTCTTATACTAGACACTCTGACTCATGACAAAGAGATGGTACATCATCCTAATCTTCCTTTTCTGCCTTGGAAAGTAGGATACTTGGATGAAAATCAAAAGTTGATCTAATGCATTTTGTGTAGGAGGAGGAAGCATGAGTAAGAAAGAGACAGGTTAAAACAATCTCAGCTGGACTGTGATCAGTGCTGATTTCTTTCCTTTTCCGTTAGATGTGCTAAGGCAAATGTAGAAGCTTGTTTGTGCCTTGGGAAAATTAAGTTAAGCCATGTTTTATTGATTGTAAAGTACCTTACCTGGGAAGAGCTTCAGAACATTGCAAGAGACTGCTATGGATATTCAAAAAGGCTACTGCTGTGTAGTACCAGCGTGTGGGGACAAGGTCGCTTCTGCTCATTGCATGCCTGTATTGTCTGTGCATTGTCACACTGACAAGAGCGTGTGAGTTTTTGATGTAAATATGGCATTTGTCAAGTTCTCAACTGGCCTGTTATACATGTGACAATGTATGGATGAAGCAAGAAAAGATGTTGCACATCTTCTCTAGTATGAGGTGGATGGACAATATACAGTTAATAAAATCCGTATCCATCTTTGTCTTCTTCGAAACACAGTATCTGGAAGGATATATCACATTCTAATTTACATTCCTTGATATTATTATGGGCTTTGATACTTAGATTCTAAAATTACTTAAAAGTAACCTTACCAATTTTGAAGGAAGCGTCTAATTGGGATCTCAGGCCACAGCATAAAGTTTTCTAATTGCATTTTCGTTAAGCATCTGTCCTTAAGTTTGCTTATTCTTTCTCCATGAAAGTGGTGGTTTTGACATCTGTCAGAAGCATCTAGAAACTGGGAGCTTTCCATCATGGGTTTCATTCATACAGTGTTTCCATTAGGTCACATGCAAGTTTGTTTCTTTTTTTTTTTTTTTTTTTTTTTAAAAATGTGCTTGAGGTTCATATCACACAAAATAACCAGTTAACTATGTTTTTCCATTATGAAGATATCACTTGGTAGGTCCCAGAAGAACCTTACCACAGGCCTAAGCTCTTTAGTTGTTGTCTTTGCTGAACAGTTAAAAGGCAGTGCATACAAAGGCCTTTAGGGTGGAGGTGATGCTATCCACTTCTGTGATTGTCTCTGTTAACACTTGGACAATATTAAACCTGAAGAGGTGGTGACCTATGCTACTTCATTTTAGACATAACTATGTTAGCTAAAGTAGACTTTTTGTTAGTCCTTTCTTCTGCATTCTGTGCAGGTCAGCCCTCTCTTTCCTTCAGTACTTCAGCCTTTTTGAACCTTGCATGCATTCACAAACTGGTTTGTTTGGAAGCCTCCCACTATGGAAGGCACGTAGGGAGAGATACCTGAAAAAAGAAAGAGGAGCTGTTAACCTGTACAGCACAGGGTAGTCCCTGAAATGTCTTTGTGCATCTTGCCATTTGCCCGTTTCTTTCACGGTTTCATGTGTCGCATTTGGCATAGGTGGAACTGAACTAGTTGGCAGTCCTCTCATGGCCCTGCATCCATGTAGATGGTAGTCCCAGAATATGCATAGACTGAACAAACAGTGCTAACAGAGTAACCACTGTTAAACTTTTTTTCTGATGACCTTGGAGATTGGGGATGGATATGGACATTCCATATTCACCGAGGCATTCTGTTACGTAGCATAATTTTTGAATAGGTAGAATCCCAAGATACTCATGCCAGATGTAGTTAGTAATCCAGTATTACCTACTGGTGTGTTTTGTCTGACTGAGTTACCGTGGTTGTCCAGTTTATTGTATAACATAAAATGTAATTTAATACTGACATACTGAATGGCAGTTGTGAATTAACAGGAAACATGTACGCTCTAAATTATTTCATGACTTATTGAAAGAGAAGTTTCGCAATGGTACTTCTGAAGATAGAGTAAATCTCTTACCTTCACATCTTGCATTTCCAATGTTCTTGTATTACATTCTCTGAGACACAGTAGGTTTTAGGTCTCTGTAGGAAAGGAAATAACAAAATTCAATAACAAAACTAATACGGAAGCTTTTAAGGTGCGTTTAAGCTTTAAAGTCATAAACATATTCTCTTTTTAATTGCGTTTCATATTGTCCTCTATACTATAAATTAAATGTTATGTTTACTTTACTTTGCCTGAAAACATGGAATATGACCTTTAATATTGGTGCTACAGATGGGAATCCTAGCATGCCATATACCTGTTTTCTCTAAATCTTGACATTGCTAATACTGTCTTCTAACTTGATCCGAATTCTTACTCAGCTCTGTAACCCTTTGGTTTTATGACCAGTTTTACTTACTTTAGTAGCGG